TGGCCAAGTCCAGAAACACCGGGCTCCTGGCCAATCCCAGAAACACCGGGCTCCTGGCCAAACTCCTCGCTGTCGGAAGGCACCGAAGGCTGCACCAGAGGGGAAGGGCCGGGAGAGGGAGACCTAGCCATCTCCTCTCCGTCATGTTCAGAGCCTTCCTCCTCTGATGAGAGGGACCCACCGGACGGAGCCACAACACGGACTTCAACTCCCAGAATTCTTGAGTCAGCCATGCTGAGGGGAAAGGGAGAGGCTTCCAAGCTGAGCCATGCTGGCTCAGGAATTCTAGGAGTTGTGGTCTATGAGTCATAAGAGAGCCGAGGTTGCCTACCCCTGGTCTAGTATCTTTTCACCCTCTCCATCCTTACCCCAGAGACCCCTACTAGGAAGTTATCACATTAATCACCTTTGACTATCTATGTATTTCTGGAAGATATTATTAGGAGAAAAATTATCCATAATACATAGGTGCGCAAAGATGATTACATCCCTAGTTTGTAGGGCTCACCTCTTTTTGTAAAAAATGACTATTTTGGTTTTTTTCTGATTCTGTTAATTAACCAACCAAAACGAAAATAGTTTTAAGTATTTTTATTATTGTTCATATAATTTTTGCTCAGAAGGAACTGCCAACAACAAAATAAAAGTACATTCAGCCTGCTTGTAGCCACATCTATCCTGCTTCCTTAGATTCACAGCCTGCAGCCTTAAGAAAGAAGGAAAGTACTTGGGAAGGTGGCCCAGACTAAGGGCCTCGGGAGACTCCGTCAATTGACACAAATTATAGGCATAAAGAAGGAGCAAACATGAATGCTGTTATGTGCACTGTTTAACACCTATCATTTATAAGAATATCACCTTTCAATTAATAAATGTATAAATATAAAAAAATTAAAGACATGGATTTTTTGGCTTCATCGCTCCTCTTTTCTCTGAAGGCATCTTTTTTTTGCAAAAAAAGAAATTAACGTCTCAAAATCCAGGACAAGTCTGCTTAACATAATGATTAGACCCCTACATAAGAAAGTGTTAATTGTATTGCTGTATTGATTTCTTACGCTTTCTCCCATTTACTAGGAATTAGGTTCAGACCAGAAACTCCTATTTTGCTAGATAGCTTCAAAAACGTGTCTCCTTCACCGACTGCTGTGAAGCTCCCCCCCCCACATTCCCCATCCATTTCTTACTGGAGCTAACGTGCACATTACTCTTTTGAAATCAACATTTCCCCAAGAATCAAACCACCATTTCAGAATCTGCTTTAGTGTCTGGTCAGATAGTTTTACTGCTCATTGCTGAGTGTGGATTTTTATATATAGGATAGCGAAAGGCATTCACTACTCGGCACTGAGCTTGTATTCTACTTAAGCCCCTGCACCACAAAATTTGGCTGTGACGCAGTTCCTGTTCACCATAGTCAATCTCTTCAGTTACTTGTCCTGTTACCTCCTCTTTGAGAGGCTGCTGTCCAATTTCTTTCAGGAACCACATATATCTGGTAGGAATACTAATGATGACTTGTCCCCATACCAAGGACCCCAGGCCAAAAAAGAGGGACCACAGCCACTGCTCTAGGGTAAGAGCTGTGCAACTAAAGGGCTTCCCTCCAAACTGAACAATTACGACTTGTATAATCAAGGTTCCTAGAGTGACACAGCAAAAAATGCTATTTTTAAATATTCCCGAAAAAACATTCCGTTCTCCGTGAATCTTTCGTGCATTGACTTCATTACAAATTTGCATCATTACAAATGTGTTAAATATAAGAGTGTAATGCTGGGTGGGTGGGGACTGCAGTGTTGAGATTCGTCCATTTTCAATATCAAATAACCTTTCTCCTACAAACAGTAGTGAAAAGACCACTACCATCTGATAGATGGCATGTAAGAAAATATTTTTCATCATTATACGGGAGACGAGTGGCTTATTTCTGCCATAAGGCTTCCGTTTCAGCAATGCTTCGGTTGGCTTTTCTGTGGCTAAAGCGAGAGAAGCAAAGGTATCCATAATGAGATTAACCCACAACATCTGAACTGCCTTCAGAGGGGAATTCTGGGTGACGCAGGCACCTGTAAAAGCAACAATCACGGCTACCACATTGACGGTCAGTTGAAACTGAAGAAATTTGGAAATGCTATCGTACACATTTCTACCCCACATCACTGCTTTTACAATGCTTGAAAAATTGTCATCAGTAAGAATAATATCAGAAGCTTCCTTAGCTACATCTGTTCCAGCAATCCCCATGGCAAAGCCAACATCAGCCTTTTTTAACGCCGGCCCGTCATTAGTACCATCCCCAGTGACTGCTACCACTTGTCTTTGCTCTGTGATATTGCTGTTGATGATCCCTTCCACCAAGTTGTACTTATCAGCTGGGGAGGATCTTGCAAGCACAGCTAGGGTAGGCCAGATCCTGTCTATCAATTCTTGTTTGATCTCCCCATTCTGATTACGAATTAATCTATTAAACTCACCCCCCTCTAAACACAGGAAGGTCTCCCCGGGTCGCAGAATCCCACATTTGGCGGCAATTGCCCGCGCTGTGTTAATATTATCCCCCGTGACCATACGGACAACGATGCCAGCGTTCTGACACTTCCTGATTGCGTCTGGAACTTCGGGTCTCACTGGATCTTCAATGCCCACAACTGCAACGCAGGTTAAATCCTTAATAACAGTGTCCTCCTCATCCCATTCTGGTTCGTTTGAATCAGGGCCACCTGGAAAATCTCTGAAAGCAATACAGATGGTTCGGAGTCCCTCAGAAGCCATTGGGGCAATCACATTTTTTATCACATTTTCCCTATCCTTTCTGGAAAAAGGCTCACGCTCTGCAGCAGAGTTCAATATTTTGGTGCATTTTTGAAGGAGTATTTCAGAAGCACCCTTGCTGAAGAGCTGATAGCCACCAGCAGCATTTTTCAAAACTGTGCTCATAGACTTCCTGTCGGAATTGAAGGTATACACTTTATACAACATTTCTTCTGGTATCTTAGTCCTCATAGCCTCATAATTCAGATTTAGTTCTATAAGCAAGCCCAGTAAAGCACATTCCGTTTTATTGCCAATTTGACGGGGCAGGCCTCCTTCTACTTCAGGTTTCAGGATCTTGGACGTATAAGCACAGTTAACAGAAACACCCTTCAGCAGATAAGCCAACAAAGTTGGATGAATTAAAGTAGGGTCAGGAACAATTTTGTAATGTTTACCCCCAATAAAAATCTGAACCACTGTCATTCTGTTCATTGTTAAGGTCCCGGTTTTATCTGAGCAAATGGCTGTTGCGTTGCCCATAGTTTCGCAGGCATCCAGATGCCTGACCAAATTATTATCTCTCATCATTTGCTTCACAGAATAGGCGAGGGAGATGGTTACCGCAAGTGGGAGGCCCTCAGGCACGGCTACAACCAAAATCGTCACGCCAATGATAAAGAATTTCACTATATATTGTACATACACAGGCGTACATTCAACAGTCCAAATGCGCTTCTCAACCACAAATGTTCGAATGAAGAAAGAGGCTATAAGAACAGTGACGGTGATGACAGACATTGCCAGCCCAGCTTTGCCAATTTGCACGGCTAATCTGGTAAGTTTTCCCTGAAGGACAGATTTTTCTTTTTTGTGCCCAGCAGGTTTTAGGGAGCTTTCCTCAGTTTCCTCTGTTTCCTTCTCATCAACTTTTTTCCCTTCTTTGTTCTTAGGGGAACCATTCTGGTTGGTCTCTTTTGGTTTCTCATGCTCTCCAACTCCAAGTAAAGTAAGGATAATACCAGTTTGTGAGTTAATACCAACAGCTGTAACAACCATTTTTCCAGAGCCTTCCATCACGTGGGTACCTGATAACAACATAGGATCCTGACTTAAATTCTTCTTGACTTGATCAGATTCCCCGGTAAGGGAGCTTTCATCTAGTTTCAAATCGTAGCCTTGGAGAAGCAGACCATCAGCTGGTAGAAGATCCCCGTATCTGATTTGCATGACATCCCCAACCACTAAGTCAACTACTGGGACCTGTGTTATATCCCCACTCCTGATGACAGTAACTTTTTGCTCCTTTTCAATGCGACGCTGCAGTCCCCTGAACTGTTTTTCCTTGCTCCAGTCATTGAAAGCTGTCACCAGCACCACACAAACAACTGACAGAAGAATAGCAGAACCTTCAATCCATTCGGTGTTTGCTTCTTCTTCTTCTCCTTCGAATTCCTCCAAACGACATGCTGCAAGATTTACCCCTGAAGGATGATAAAACGAAAGTCCCAGTGATATGAGGGCTGCAACTTCCAAGATACATAATGTCATATCCTGCAGTGCTTCCCATATCAATTCAAGAAACGTTAGGGGCTTCTTAGGAGGTATAAAGTTCTTTCCAAACACAGATTTCCTAAGCTCTACTTCTGATGAAGATATTCCACTTGTAGGAGATGTTTTCAGACGATTACAGATTTCAAAGACGTCACCGTATAATTCTTTTATTTTGTGCACAGCTTCTTTCTTTCGAAACTGCATCAGATTTTTCAGCTCTGAGGTAGTGATATTGAAGTCAGCTGACGTATGCCGGGCTGGAGTCACCATCACTGTGCCTTCCTGCAATTTACAAGGATAACCCAGATAAAGTTAATCGCACTTATAAATTGAAGCTTGGAAACACATTCCTTGCATTTATGTAAAAGCACTACCAGTATTTATAGAGGAAAGTCCTTTAAAAAAAAAATCAGAGCAACAGGACATTTTCCCCCCTCAACTATTGAAGTTGTTCTTTAAGTAGCAATGTGGAAAAGCATATATATTTGTACTTGAGACTCAAAAAACATGGCATGTTGTAAAACTCTGCTTGGGGATTTCTCATTCTTTTTTAATTTGAAAAAAAAGATTGGATCGGGCCCTGAAGAAGAGGGAGGGAGGAGAGCATTTATCCATGTTTTGTTTAAACTAGGAAAGTGCAATAAAATAGGTTAACTATCACAGGTAGACAGTTTTGGCGGTCAGAGACCACAAATTCTGAAGAGCTATAGGAGGCTATCTGGTGGTACTATGATATCCACCAAAGAGGTGGAGTTCGACTCAAAAAGTGTATATTTAAAATTATATTAAGCAGAACAGTCATATTACTTTCTATACTTTTTTCTCCAAGATATCTTTTTTTTTTTGCCTGTGGTTTCTCTTGGCTGTGGAAATATCTGGCTGTTTGATTTTGTGTAGTTCCACTAGAAATCATCCCAACTTCATTTGGTGGGACTTATAATGTGACACAATTCTACTAAGGAATAAGTCTTGCTGAGATCAGTAGGATTTACACCTGTGTTAGTAGGTCTAGAACTGCACCATTACAAGATCACTTCCCATGTGTACAAAGATAAACAGAAATTTCTCTTACATATAAACCTGCAAACCCAGGTGTGCTTTTAGCAATAGGATCAATAAGACCAAACACAGGACCAATGTTTTGGATTTCTCTTCAACTGTGTAAAGGATCACTCAGCCCCAAATTCAGGATGTACATTTGAAAAGGGAAAGAAATTGTTTAAACTGATATTTTTCTTATTGTTTTAAAACAACTGAAATTTTAAATGAACAACACTGGACTGCCTAAAGTGCTATATTTCACATAAATTGTATTATTATTGTTAGGGACAATCTATTTATTAGTCCCCTGTCACCATGAATTCATATACATCTCAATAAGAAACTGGTTGGAATACTAGTTACAACTGTGTGCCTCAGGTATAAATGAGAATAGTTCTCATGCATCTTTTTTGTTGCAAACTAAGCATCAAACTACGTAGAATGTAAACATTTTTCATAATAATAAGAAATGCCAGGTAATCTGATCCCTATACAACAGGAAGAGGAGATTTGACTAGAACATTCACTCACTACTTTCTCAAGTAGAAATTTACCCTCTTAATCTTCCTTCAGATGAAAGCAGGATTGCTCTCAAGCTTTTCATGGTAGAAAATATGGATTTGGATGGGCATTTTGGTTCAGGAAGTCACATGGGTAAAAAGATTTGGTGTTCTCCCCCCTAAAGGCCACGATCCAGCCTGACAGAGCCACTAATAAAAGTCGAGATGGCAGTTGCTAAACATGCTACAAAGGGGTACAGATTTGATCACAGAGTTATAGCTGCCATCTTGACTTTCTTGATCTCCAGGGAAACCCTTGCTGCCATTTCACTGATGCTTTGAAAGAGCTCTTGAATAAAAGGTGTGGTATATATTTATATAATAAGTAAATCCTGTATCTCCCATTATTAGTCAGACTTGCTAGAGCAATGTTGGAATTTAGCAACATCTGGGGGGGGACTACATCTACAGCAGTGATGGCAAACCTTTTAGAGACCGAGTGCCCAAACTGCAACCCAAAACCCACTTATGCATTGGCGGGTGCCGGGTGGGTGTGGCCCATTGGCTGGGTGTGGCCCATTGAGTGGGCGTGGCTGCGGTGGTAACGGCAGACTGGGTGGGACTAAAAAGTTCAGTCAATCAATTCCAGCTTTGCAAGATCTTTTTTTCCCCCACGAGAAGTTGAAATTGACTGATTGATTGAACCTTTTTTTTTTTTTGCACACGGCGGCGGAGGCCTAAAGCGAAAAGGTTTTATAAAACCTATCTGAAGGCCTAGGTCTGGGGTGATGGCATGCGTGCCCACAGAGAGGGTCTGAGTGCCGCCTCTGGCATCCGTGCCATAGGTTCGCCACCACTGATCTACAGTATGCAATATATTGAGATCAGATGTTGAATCATCTTTATCAT